GTTGTTAAAAAGGGACCCAGCAGCTTATTTGTCCCAAAGCCCTTTGCAGCTTAATCTGGCCATCGCTGTGTATTAGAGAGTTGTGCGCACAGCAATGTAGCACGGTGCCACCCTCTCTCTGGTACTGAGGCTCTGTACTTTGTGCCAGCCAAGGACACACGCGCAAACAAACACACACCGACACACACGTCCAATAACCTTCTTCTCTGAATGGAAATCTCTGCTGACTTCTCATTGGATGAGATTAAAAAGGGTCCGAGGGGAGGAGGGGACTGAGAGCTCATGGTAGAGGTAGACAGCCTGGCATCATCAGGTGATATCACCACAGCAACCAGGGCCCAGCATGAGTAAACACAAGTACAATGGAGACAATAAGGGAGACATGCTTTTATGCTCATTCAAACACACATGCACACACATGCACGCACATGTACACAGCCCCTTGAGACTGAAGCCAGAGGTTGAAGTGTTGACTACATTATGCACCCTGCCTAACCCTCTGCCTCTCCCCCTGTCTCTTTATTATTTCCTGGCAGTATTAAGGATTTACTGGAGGGGTGTGACTTTATGAGGAAGTGGTAGAAATAAATAAACAAATAGCACACAAAGTCATTCAGCCCAGAGAAACAGACAGAGACAGGAAGTTTGCGGCGCACAGGCAGTAAGCTACAGTCGGAGAAAGAGATATTGTTAAGCGGCGCAGTATATAATAGACAGGGGAATGTCTGAGAGTGCTGCTGTTGTGTGTTTGCATTCGCTGAAATAAACACGTTCTTGGCTCCATACACCACACCACTTCCTCTCTGATCATCCTGAGAGAGGGAGGGAGGGAGGGAGAGAGGTAGGTGATGAACGTGCAACGGCAATCAGGTGCAAACAAGATTAGACCAAACCCCATCACGAGCCATATGGCCAAAAAAAAAAAAAAAAACCTGATAAGAGAGAGAGGGCAGGGGAGGGCACTAATGTGCTTGAGGTGTGCACTTGTGCGGCTGTGCACGACTCGAGTGTGTAGTCTGGAATCTGTACTTACAGTTTTGAGAAATGCACTACTCAGCAAAGAGGTAAAAAACACTCTGAGCATCAGCTCAGATCACAGAGTCAGCCAGGACTTTGTAACCTTTCAAAATAAAAGCTTTTTATAACAAAATAATATTTGCTGTTCTTTAAAACTGTATTCATATTTACTGGAAAAAAATGTATTTTGGAACAAAACATTATATTTTAAAAATCAAAAATAATAAGATCTGGCAACCTGTCCAGGGTGTACTCATGAATCACACAGTCACATGTCAGTCATTTTCTTTAAACCCATTGGTGGTTAATTCCCTTACTCGCCAGTGGTTATTTTTCCTGTTGCGACCACAATTCAAATTTTTACTGTCATCCCACGGTCACTGCTCGTCACATTGCTGCAAGAGCCTTCCTGTGTGGACACCCTTTTAGCAAATTGTACAAAGATTTTGTAATGTGTGAAATCTTGACGGAAAACATGTTTTTGTTCGTGTGTGTGGGTGTGGTTGGCAGGGATGTCGAGCTCTTACATTGAAAATCTAAAGAGTTCACACCAAGAGAGCCTTTGTGACCATGATTTTAATATGCAAGAAAAAGGAGAAATGTAGTAGTAATCAAACTTGTGTAGCTAACTTAAATACCCTTTCTCTCTCCACATGTGCCTGATTTGGGAGTAAAAAGTCATAAAATTAGCATCGTATTAGCATCACATATGCAAATATAATCTTCTAAGATATCATTTATTCTCTGTGCTTCTGAAGTCTGCGTCCGAGCCTTCAAACAGTATGTAAATAAGCTGCAGGAGCCCAATCATACTGTGCTGTTTTCAAACTGTCCACTGAGCAGTCACGAGTGTGTTTGCCTGAAGGCGAACAGCATCACTTCTAAATATCTTGTTTAAAAGAGCACCCAAAGGCAATAGGAACATTAACAAAACCCTGCGTTGTTGTATTCATAGATCTGGTGACTTATTCAGTTTAAATACAACTAAGACCTTGTGGTCACATGTCATCTTACTAAAGTAATGTACAAATGTGTTTTAAAAGGAAAAAAAATGTCTATCACAAATTAGATACAGTATTAACATCCTCCCAGGACAGATGATGTGCTGTACTGACTTGACAGCTGGAACTGATTTTTTCTAAAGCTTTAATTACACACTTGAACTTGTATAGACTTAGCTGACTATACAGTTTAGCCTATAGATGTTAGATTTTTTTATTAAGGCAAAACTTCGGTATTATTATAAAAAAAGGATACTAATATGCTCACTACTAAGTCTGTGTTTTTAGTCTTGGACTCTGCTAAATTAGCTTTGCATGAATCAGAGTTCAGAATAATCCTTATTTATCTTCATTTAGATCTTCCTATGTCTGAGACAAGCCAAATCTGATTGGTTGCCCCTTGTAAACAGAAGATTGACCATAAATTCTCTGGGTGAAAATACCTTGTTGATGTTGGAGGTTTGAGGAGAATGGCCAGACAGATTTAATGTTGAAACACAAAGAATCACTCGTTACAACCAAGGTATACAGAACAGCATCTCTGAAAGCACAACAAACTTTGAAGCAAATGTACTTCAAACCACAGAAGATCATACTGGGTGTAAATCCTGTCAGCTGAGAACAGGAAACTGAGGCTACAATTCATACAAGCTCACCACACATGGACAACAGAAGACGTAAACATGTTGCCCAGTCTGATGAATCGAGATCTCTACTGCAATATTTGGATGTTAGGGTCAGAGTTTGCTAGAAACAACATGAAAGCATGGATCCATCCTGCGTGGGGAATATTTTCATACCAACTAAGCATCGTTTAAATCACCACAGCCTACTAGAGTGCTGTTCCTGAGCATGTCCATCCCTTTATGACCCCAGTGTGCCCATCTTCTGATGGTTGCCTTTAATGTTTGCCAAGTGGTCAGTAACTTTCGTATATATAGTGAATACTCCCATTTTAAACTGGGGTCTGTCTACACATATCATTCTCAAAGTTTGTATTTACCAAGGGTGTCCTCCTGCGTTACAGTGATTTGTGTACACACAGCGCTTCCTTTCAAACATTTAGAGTCAGTGATGTTGATCTCGATAAGCCCAACACCGGCTGTATGCTCTACAGAATCCACCCACAAGGCCCACACAACATGCATGTAAACAAAAACATTCATTTTCCAGAAAAACATGCAAGAGCTCTTTAACCAACATAAGGAAACAGCCCCACGGCCTCATCAACTTGTTGATGGCTCATCCGAAAACCAAATAAAGAGCAACCTTTGAATAGTCTGTTTGTTGACTCAAGACTCTGACTGAGTGTATTTGCGACCAAAACACCAGTGTTTACCCACCCCTATGGCAAAAATAAAGGTTCAAGGCCTCCTTGAGGCTACACACAAATGAACACATAGAACACCTGACAGTCTGATTATGGTGATTCAGTGTATAAAAAAACAGCCTGGCTACACTACAATCAAGCAACTCAATAAGTCTCCTTGCTATATAGGTAATCACTGAGAATTGCAGCTCAGTGTTGTAAGAACATTGCAGTGCCTCTTTGTTAAGAGTTGGGTTTCACTGCCTGCTCCCAGTCTGCAAGAACAGTGTGTTCAGGGTGACTCAAAGTCAGCACAGGTGCCTTCAACTCCATCTCTGAGCGGCGATAACTGGAGTCATTTTCACTAATGAGCGCATTTTCTCACTTCATCCCGCCACGCAGTTCTCACCCTTTAAACCCTTTTTAGATCCTATTACTTGAGGTAGCTTGGCATGATGTAACTGCATGCCATGCTCCAGCCGTGTAAGGATGTGGCTCCACGTCTTTGCACCATAGTACAATGCAATTGGTCGAGGGATGATGAATGCAGTGCAGCATTTTTTTCCCAGCGTAGTAAACGATCAAAGAGGGTCGATTCAAGCGCCGGGCGCGCGCCTCGGGCACAAAACCCGGGGAAACATGACCCTGATGGAAATCACCTACCTTTCGATTCACAGTCAGCGCAGTATTTGTTCTCCTCCAGCGCCAGTAAAGAGTTGAGGACAGCCTGGTATCTGTCAACGTCTTTCACAGATTTGCCCGTCATCATCCTCCTCCACCACCACCACCAACACAACAGTTCCTGCGGTCTGTGCCGGCTATTGCCAAACGAGCCCTTAACAAAAAAAAAAAGGAAAGTGAGCACGGGCGATCTGCTCCGCCGTCCCTCTTCTTCCTCTTCCTCGCCGTGGAGCGCAGAGTTTGCTTCACGACGATGGGATGATTGCCTTTCAACCAACCAGCATGCGGCTTATTCGAGGTGAAAATACCCCCAATCAGGACGAAGAGGATGCCATGTGATGTCTGAGATTCAAAATGTGATGCTGACTTTGAAGCACATCTGTTACCTATCACTACTATATTCTCTCTGTGTGTGTGAACCCCCTTCCTCCGTCTTTCTCTCTCCCTCTCTCTTCCTCTCCCTCTACCTCACTTTCTCTCTCTTTCACACACGGACAATATCTGTAGAGTTAAAAGTTATGTTATGAGCAAGAGTAATCACTACACTTATTGAGAAAAAACTTTTTTAACGACTATAGGTTTAAATTATTTGTCAAGGAATCTTACAATTTTATAAAGCAGGCTTTTAAAACTCCCAATTTATCAATATATTGCCCATATCGCCATCGTGTGGTCAATTATGGGAAGATTTTGTTGAGACCAAGAATTTGCGGTCCTCGGTTCCCCTCCAAGACGCCAGAGGGCGGTAAGATAAGCAGCTGAACAAAAACTGCGTCAAACACACCCCTAAAACTGTAGGAAAAATGCGTTTCTTTCAAAATAAAGTGTATTATCTGGTGTTATACATAAGAGGCTACATTTGTCTAAATATCGGCAACAACAGAGTGTAATTTCAAAGGCTTTTTATTCCTCATTGCACCGTTTTCTTTAGTTTCAATGGTTTACTCGCGAATTTCCCGCAATAAAGCTTTTACTTTTAAGTAAGACCGGAAGTTCATGTTTCTATCTCATGACGCTTGATACAGCGAGAGCGACTTAAACAGGCGATTACGGAAATAACTGCTTAGCCCGAATCAAATAAATAAAGGATTAATATCCAGTGCACCACCTGTGTAAGCCTGTAACACCCGTCACAATGTCCAGACAAGCCAACCGGGCAACAGACAGCAAGAAGATGGTAGGCGACTCCCACAGGATTAATGGCAACATAGCAAGCTTAGCTAGCAGGATGCTAACCGTGGCTGTAAGGCTAAATTAACAACTCACTCATGTCTCTGAGCTGAGCTACTCGCCAAATTATGCATATTTATCTTGCACGTGTGGCTAGGTACAAGAGGTATATTTGTACCTGTTTAACATTTATTTCACTGTTGCTTAATGCCGGGTTTGGCTTTGACAGGAAGTGGAGCTACAAGCTAAGCTATGACAACAAAACACAAAAACACATTTAAAAGCTATTTCTTAAAGGATTTTTCAGTTGAACGTATATGAATTTGCAATTTATTAACTGAGCTGACTAAAACTGTAATATACCTTTCTAAAAACGACGCTAAAACACTATTTTCCAAGCAGGTATCGTAGCTCCTGTGCCGTGACAGGTCATTCATGTCAGCTGTGGCTATAATCTTAAGTTATTTTATGGTAATAGCATTAGATCTGTATAGCTTTTAAAGTTTGGTGTGAAAACTGAAAGATCAGCAATAGAAAAATGTGCCACATATTAATGAAACGTTATTCAATCCTAAACTGGCATCAAACGTTAGTTCAATTCTAGGAGCTGCCCTGGGACGATCTGTTTAACTTCTAGATGCTCAAAAATATCCCATCCCCAAATTATTATTTAACTTAAAAATTTTTATATAGGCTTTTCTTGCTGGTAAAAAGGTTGTCATTTGTCCAGATTTGTGTGGGGCAAACATAACATGTGATCTGTGTGGTTTCTGTTGGTTTTTTGTTTGTTTTTTAGAACTCGGAGTTGTTCACACTGACTTATGGGGCCCTGGTCACCCAGCTTTGTAAAGACTATGAGAATGATGAGGAGGTCAATAAACAGCTGGATAAGATGTGAGTACTCTTTCAAGCAGGATTTTTCCTGTCTTTGAACGAACCATTTGCTCCACATACAGCAAAGGCTTTTTTTTTTTAAGCACAACCGACAGACATTAGTGCTTCAATTTGTGACCATTTGAATAACAAACTTTGAATTAAGCTCCAGTCTGGCCAAATCCTCTTTTGGGGCTCACACCCAGCTGTCGGTTGAAAATTGTGTAAATACTGTTAAATGCACTTGCTGTGTGAAACAAAAAAAGCATTACTTAATTAGAAACACAGAAGGTAAACTTTTCCATCACTTAAACAGTAACTAGGTACTTTATGAGGTACACCTATTTGCTGCCCTTCAACACAAATTCCTAATCAGCCAATCACACCTCAGTTCATTTAGGTTATCCTGTCTCAAGCTGTTAGGGAGGCAACAGTAACTCAAATAAGCACTTGTTCCCACCAAGGTATGTAGAAGAGCATCTGTGAATACACGGTGTGTCAAACACTGGGATACAGCAGCAGAAGTTCAAAAGCACAGCGCTTTTTCTGTGTTAGCTGGCTTGACACAGTCGAAAGCCCCAGTCACCGAAAATAGCCACCACAGTGCTTTTTACCACCTTTCTGTTAAGCTGGGTTTCTGCTCTGCTATGTGAATGATTACATAAAAATAGTGATTTTACAGGTCATGTGACTCTTCTTTCACACAAAGTGAGTATCACCTACTGCAATAAGAGACAGATCCTCAGATAATGATCATAAAATGGTGATTAAAAATATACCAGTAAAATGCACCATTGTCACAAAGAGAATGCTACTGAAGAACATTAATCTTGGGATTTATTTCACACAGCGGTAAATAAACAGTTCCGTGTGCTGCTATTTATTTTAAAGGTGACTGCGGCACATTTGAGCTTTGAATCTTTGAACTAGTTCCATTTAAACATTAAAGGTTTCTGTTCTGTAGCCTAACAAAGGAGATGTGGAAATCATTTTACTTTGTCAGCAGAGGAAAGTGAAATCAATGTGTTTTGTTCTGGTAGCTGCAATTCCAGCAATGTAAAAGAGATTTGGCACCAAATTAAAAAACCTGTGCGAACATGGTCCATCCAGCTTATTTTAAACTGAAAATTGGAACATAACCTGGTCAGGTCTTCAGCATAAGTTACCACGGTGATTTAGCTAGGTAAAAAGAGAGCCACTTTTGTGACACAGAAAACTGACTTTTAAGCTCGTAAAAGCTTGATAAGCTATTAAATAACATGAAGGCATGGATCAGTCCGGCATCAAGCTGGTGATGTAGTAATGTGTAGTGTATCCATCTTCTGATGGTTTTTTCCAGCAGGATTAAGTACCATGTCCCAAACCTCAGATCATCTCAATCTGATGATCTGAGGTCAAAACAAAGGCACCCTTTGTTTAATTTATAGTTAATAAGTTCATCTATGTACCATTAAGTATGTGCTATCATTCAGCCTGTTTAATTTGATACATTAGGAAACATAAACCTGGCTCTTCTGGTAGATAATTCCAAGCCACTGAAACTCACTACATAACTGTTATGATGTGCAGGTGTGCATCACAAAGCCATAATGCAATAAACACACAATTTATAACATCATACATAATTTTGAACGTATCACAGGAAGTACAATGCTGATGACAAGGTATTGCCGAGTATTCTGTACATGAGTATTTATCTGTAACAAAGTTCAGTTCTTCTGTCTCGCATATGTTGAACCTGTGGTTTTCAGTGGATGCTCTCAATCATGCATCCTTTGGGATTTTTGAAGCCTCTTGGGTGACTCTTTATAGCTGACAGCTTCATTGTACTCTTTAAGCGTTTTCCTATTTTCAGTTCATAACATAGCTTGACACAAAATGGAGCAAAGATGTAGTCTTATCAGATTTCATTTCTTACACTGCTGCTTCTCCTCTTGTAAGTTCTTTGGATGGGGTCTTTTGAAGAAGCAAATATTTAATATTAAGACAGAAGAATCTTAGGAATGCCAAGCAGGAGACAGTACTCCCCCAGAATAAGATTAAGACAAAATGATTGGTTTCTAACTTAAGAAATTTAAATTATCCTGTCATGCTGACAGACCTTTGGACTGGATGTACTTTGTTTCTCTGGCTGTGCGGTAACCCTGAGCTGTCAGGACGGGGCTCGTCTTACCTGGCCTTAGAAGGCAGTGAATCTGCACTGCCCAATCTGCCAGATGCCATCCAGCTGGTTAGAGACGGACCATGTTAGGATTGGGATGCATCCATTGGCTTCAGACTCTGCTGTTAGGTTAAGTTGTCAGGACTCTTTAATCAGAAATGTCATTATTTGGCAAGTATATGAACCAAAAATATTTTGAAGGATTTGAAGCTGTCTGCCTTGGCTTTACAGTTTGCCGCAGGTTAGCCTGTCATTTCCCCCCAACTACTTTTCCTTTAATATAAAAAGAAAACATGACTTTGTCTCTTACCCACTTCTCTCTCTCTCTCTCTCTCTCTCTCTCTCTCTCTCTGATGTTCTGACTTCCACAGGGGTTATAACATTGGTGTGCGTCTGATCGAGGACTTCCTGGCACGCTCAAGCATCGGCAGGTGTCAGGATTTCCGAGAAACAGCCGATGTCATTGCTAAGGTAACTGGAAGGTTCCAGGCCAATCAGAGCATGACCATGGACTTCTCCCAAGATAGACAGAGGGAAATAGGAGAGGGAGGAAGGGACAGAAGGGACAGATTAGAGGGAACATTTCTAATAAAACACCCTAACACAGGATGGATGAAAGAGTGTTAGGATAAGGGTAAGGGGTAAGTAGACAAGAAAAGCTCAAAACACAGAGTGAAGCATATTTCTAAACTTTATGCTAAAATCACATTCGTGTGAGTGTGTGGAAATGATCCGGTGTGAAATGTGATGCAAATTCAGTGATACATCTCTGGTTTGCCATCTTTGGACTTTTACTTTGAAAGAGAACCTGTTAAGCTTTTCCTTATTTTCTCTAACATATTTGCTGTTGCTATCATAGACGCTCACATTTGTCATGGCCAAAGTAACAAGTTAAGAGTAATCCCTATGAACCAAAGGCTCTAAATACTGGCTGTGAGCACAGAAACCACACCCACCTGTTATTCAAACTTTCTGGTAGTGAGGGGCAGCCAATTAGAAGGTTACAGGCCTTAAAAGGAACAATTTATTTATTTGTTTATTGTTTGTGTAGTAGATGTAGTGATGTGCTTTACCAAGGCCCAGTATAAGAAAAATAAGAATTATTTTCAAATGTGAATCATGCATAGTTGTTAAAATAGCTGGAAGTTAACAAAATGGGTCTCTGTTCAGCTTTGGCAACAGGGCTGCATAACTGAGTCTGGTTTTATACTAAGTCACCTGGCTGTCAGTTTTTCCATATGACTTCCTTATGACAAAAGGACACAGACAGACCAGGAAGGCGGCTCTCGGGCACGTTGAGCCTCTTCAGTTGCTTTCGAGGTGTTACATCTGCGTGCAAAGGGAGTCATTCCACAGATGTAACAACACTCCAGCTCAGGGACCTGGCTCGTGGTCATGAAAAGAGAGGTCAGCTCTGTAAATGGAGGACCACTATGGGACAGCGGTTTGGAAGGTGCAGTGAATGACTGCTTCAGGATATCTCGTGACCTCTAGCTAAACTCTGAAATCACCTCAGCAATTCTTCAGTTAAATAGACGCAGAAGAGGTCTGTTATGTGGTCACAACAGATTTTCTACAGCTGTGGATCATATTTTCATTATTATTCTGTGGCTAGTGATGTTTAAAAACTGGAATAAGGACAGCAAACATTTTACATATGAGTGCAAATCTGCCCAGGCCAGCTTAATGTTGGAATTGGAGCGTGCAACTGGGATTTTGTTTGCGCCATTGAAATTTTATTTGTCAGAAAATGAGAAAGCCTGCCGTTCCCTCTATGAAAAAGTGATAAAGAAGAACAAAAGCCAAAAAAACTGATGACTTTATCAGAAAATATTTGTAAATGATTAATGTTTTTTTTTCCCTTTTTCTCCTCTGTTGTTAATATTGGGGTCTTCATTAGGTTGCTTTTAAAATGTACCTAGGAATCACCCCAAGCGTGACCAACTGGAGCCCTGCAGGAGATGAGTTTTCCCTTATCCTCGAGAATAATCCACTGGTAGACTTTGTGGAGTTGCCAGATAACCACAGCACACTCATCTACTCCAACCTTCTGTGCGGCGTCCTCAGAGGAGCCCTTGAGATGGTAAGATAAACCTCAGAAGTTTTAAGGTGCCGCGTGTATAGGATGTATGGAAAAATATAAAGAAACAATGGTGATATGGTTCCAGTGCACAGTTACATTTAGTTTATGCCGTAAAATGATGGCATACATCTTTAATGATGTCTACTACCAATTTTATTTTCCTCTAATCCACACAGGCTCAAACAAATACACATATAAATGCATTGGTAGAGTTTATTTAAATTGGTTGGTTTTCTGGCACAGACCTGGCTTTTAAGTGTAGTCCACAAATTTCCAATAGGGTTAATGGTAAATGGACTGATTCTTATATAGCGCTTTTCTACTCTCCCAAAGTACTCAAAGCGCTGTATACAACAAGCCACATTCATCCAATCACACCCATTCTCACGAGCACTTTCTCTACAGGTAGTGCTTTCTAACTACATTCACACACATTCATACTCCGATGGATGCATCGGTTAGTATCTTGCCCAAGGATACTTGACATGCAGACTGGAGGAGCCAGGAATTGAACCACCAACCTTCCAATCAGTAGGTGACCTGCTCTACCTCCTGAGCTACAGCCCCCCCAGGGTGGAGTTTTGGGAAGTTTTCAGAATGTTAATGTTGGCCAGCTTTATCCATTCCAAAACCAGTTTTGTTGTGTGTTTGGGATCATTGTCTTGTTGAACACCCAGCTGTGTCCAGCCTTCAACAGTCAAGATTTTGATTCTAGGTGAAATAGAAAAATTTCGAGATAGTTGTCCTCCTTCACTCGTGCATGATGCTCCTTTTTTTGTTTTTGCTGCCAACACCATACTTGAGAGTAGGCGCTGTGCTCTTAGATTTGAAAGCCTAACACATCTCTTGTCATTGTGGCCACATAGCTCAAACTTTGTCTTATCTCACATTATACTTTTCTTCCGAAAGCTGCTTGATTTTGGAGCAGGTGCTTCTTTCCTGGTCAGCACCTTGTCAATCTATGACAATGTAAAACTTGCTGTGGACATAAAACCTGATGAACATTCATGCCTATGATGAGATACAACTTCTGACCACAACTTTAATAGTGGAAAATGAACAAATGAGGATAAAAGTCTGTCTTCCTTTTTGTTTTGTTTTTTAAAACAAAATCTTTATGAATGTGGTTTAGGTCCAGATGGCGGTGGATGTGAAATTTGCCCAGGACACTCTGAGAGGGGACAGTGTGACAGAAATCCGCATGAAGTTCATTAAGAGGATTGAAGAAAACCTGCCTGCGGGAGACGAGTGATGGAAACGCAGAGATCACCTGCATCCCACAGAGGGAGGACTGATTTAAACACAGAACACTTTCACACTTTAAAAGATGAACACGATTCACACCATCAGACCGCATGCTCAACTTTAACAGGATGGTTACTTTTCTGGCAACATAACATTTCTACGAGTCGATGTGAGCATAAGAGGCTGATGGATGATTCACTAAAAATACCTGAATCGACTCGTAGCTTCAGTTTGACCATTTATTTGTTACTAACCCATGTGTAAAGACTCTCGTTGACGTCTTTTTCTCATGAATAAAGTGTTTCGTTTATTTTTGTTCGGCACAAGGCGAGTAAGTCTTATGCCAAGTTTTTTTTTTTTTTTTTTTTTGGTTTATTTGGTTTTTTTTGGTCTATCTTCTCTGTTTTTTGTTTTTAATGAAATCACACTTTATTGCTGCCAATTATTTGGCATGTTAATTTATGATGATGTTCAGTAAAAGTGACCTATTTGATGTGATGCTTTTCTCATCCATTTATGAGATTTGAAACCTTCTAACATGCCTGCTTGGGGACCTTGAACACTTTAAACCAAGCTCTTTCTTACACAAACACACTAAATGTTTCAGTGTACTGTGGAAGTTATTTCTTTGGAGCTGTTCTGCAAAGGCAAACAATAACCGACCTTAATTTCTCTCTTATGTTTGTTCAGGGCCCATAGAAGCAATTTGCATGGGTGCAGAAAAGTCACCAGTTGGGGCTGTCACACCTGTGAATAGCTCCCTTACAAGTAATGAACAGCACCTCTCAGTCAGACCTGCTGCACACCTCATCAATAACTTAAAACACAGGCGGCCATTCATGAGATGTAGCACATGCACACACACAATCCATCTGTGGTTCCACATTTGAAAGGAAGAAAAAAAATTGGTCTGGCTACAATGAGAACATTAGCAATATTTTCTTAATTCCTCATTTTTATTCATTTTTTTTATTGTGTAACAGAACAGCAAGAGTACCAAACTCACGAGTCTGCTGAAAGCACTTAGAGAATGAGATTGTCAGATAGGGATTTCCTTTTGGAGAAATCTGTCAGCCATTAACTGCTGGAAACCTCGAGGCCCTACACATTCTTATTTTATAGCTACTAGTGCTATTACATGAACCCATGACAAATTCTGTTGACTTGAGGTCAATTCTCCAAACAGCCACAAGAGGTTGCTGTGTACATTAGCTTTCCTCTGCGGGCATGTGGTTTAAACGATGTACTTTTTTTTTCCTGCCAAAGATGGATATATTGCGGTGTGGGGGTGTACATTCCCTTACTTGTGGGAGTACTGGCCGGATCTGCAAGAAAACGTATATAATAAGGCTCTATTTTTTTCAGATGGTGCTAATAGCTTTGATCTGGCTCGAGATGAGAGAAACATTGACAACATACAGTCAACTCTGTACTTTATAAGATGTATTAGGGAGGGATTTCTCATTATTATGCATTGTCTGAAGCATCTGCCTACTCCCGTCTGGGGTAGCGCTCATTTAAAAGGATAAAGAATGGAAAGCAGAGGCACCACAAGGGCCAACAATAAACTCGGCAGGCCATTAGGCGAGCACTCAACACATTACGCGCGCGTATCTATGCACCCTGTAGGCCTGTCATGTGGATGTTGGATGTAGAGTATTTCAGGAAATCTATTTTTTGGGTGGTTGTGTGCAGAAGCTTAATGTAAATGACTTGGCAGGTTTGGAGCTGGACCTGAGGGATGCATAGACAGCTGGGTTTGTGTACTTGTGAAAACCGGTATCCCTCTGCCATATGCTTACAGGAATTTACCTTGACAAATGCATACACACATGCTGGTCACGGAGCCCAAAGCGAGGATGAATTTATTACCACCGCAGCACTCTCGCGTCGGTGTTAATGCTTTCTAGAAGGACCGATCATGCAAACAGTCAACTGTTTCTCGGCTCTTGGTGAGAGCTTTGTGTTGATTGTTTTCACAGTTTTACCCATTAAGCAAGAAAGTATGAAGAATAACTAGCGCTCTGCTTATAACCTGAGCATCTGGGATTTCTATTCCCTCTGCAGGACTGCAGATGGTGTCACAGAAGAGAGAGAGAGAAAAAAAGAGTTGTTTGAGGCACTTAAGACTCATCGAGCCACGAGGAACTACTTTGAAGATGCTATTCATATTTATTCCCCTTCTTTCTGTCTCATAGTTTCAAACAGTCTACGATGCTTCCTAACATGCAGGCAGTTTGTTCGCCGTCTCCCACAAGCGGACGTGCTGCCATTTAAAAAATATTTATTAATATTATTTATTGCAGCTGCCTATATTTTTCAGAAAACTTTATTAGGACAGACCTGGAATACAAGTAGCAAATGTTACGGGCCTGAGACAGCGTGCTCTGATCTGCTTTAAGCCAGCTAAATGTTTCCATGTGGCCTTTATGGGAAACAAATGGTGAAAGGCACGCTGTGACAGTAAAGCCCAGCACACAGCCTGGTAATGGACCTGCGCTTATTGAATACCGCATCCCTTTCTTCTACCTCCACCCCATCTATTTCCAACCCCATCCTCTCAACGTTTAGCCCCCCCCCCCTTTCCTTTTTCCCTCTGACTTTCACAATGTTTCCATTATTCAACCTGTTTACTTTGCAGTTTTTGGGAATGTCCTGTATCTGCTGGGAATCGTGCTGCCTCACAGGTGAAGTAAAGGCTGGCCGAAGATTCAGTCACCCAGGATTTTCAGAGGTTTCCACAATGTGTGTGTGTGTTTTGCAGCTAGTCAGTGAGAACAGCTGAGATGAAAGCAGTACGGACAGCACTTCATAAAAGGAGAAAATGCAGTGAGTCAGCATACAAGTGGATTCATGGTAAATTAAAACCCTGACTAACTGAAAAATGCTCCTGGGCAGTGAAGCAGTAGAGGTGGCTGATTTAATGAGCGTGCACACCTGAAAAGATGCTCTCGCCAGTACAGGAGTTATTCATAGGAACGTCCCTTGTCTGCTAAAACACACCTCCCTGTTGCTCCGTGTGATTTTTAGTGGTTTGAGGGGATGTTCGATTGGGATTTATGCGCATAAACACCTCAGTAAATAAATGTGGATGTGGTTTCGAGAGGTAATTATAAGTTGATTTGGTATTCAGTCGCAGCATGTACCCACCGAGATCTGCTACAGCATCTGCAAGCCATTTAGAATATGATTCATTACCCACTTCCAGACAAACTGTTGAGCACTTCCTATAAATCTAATAACTCATGCTTCGCTCAGTCATCTACCATGGGTTGTACATCCAATAGAAAGTGAGAAGTTATTAGGCTTCCCAAAGTAATGTTTGGGTCATTAAGTGTGCTGGCAGGGAAAGAGAAACTAAACTAGCAACAAAACCCCTCAATTCCCAACAATAAAAACAGATCGGCACCAGGTAACCCACACAATGAATTCCTGGATCGCCAGTGCTCCGGGAAAGTTGTGTTTCTGTCTTTTCAACAGGAAGACATGTCAGGTTGAAGTTGGCTCTTTTGTGTATCAGCGGCGGCCTGGCTGGTTCCAGAGAGGGTTTCAGGCGGGCCTTGGACAATTCCAAGCCATTTAATGCTTTGTTTTCAGTTTTTCCTTCTTCCCTTTCTTCCAGGCTTTTTGGATAGGAGCTGCTAAGCTGCCTTCACTCTGCTTCCAATTTCCTCCTGCTCTTTTGTTCTTCCTCTTTTCTCCGGAATCTTATGAAGAGGAGGTTTTTTTAGATATTCCTGATGACACAGGTTTTACCCAATCCAGATCCTTTTTATCTTTGGCCCTTATTTTCCCACAATATTCCTCAGCTCTTGTCTTGTTTTTCTCCCTCTTTTCTTCCCTTTTTCTTGACCCCGCTCGAGCTGGAGTTTATGTAACAGCGGCAGAACTTTCCAGCTTGGAACAGCCTCACTTCAAGATAGAGCAAGGAGAATGAGAGAGAGAGAAAGAGCAAAAAGGAAAAGAAAAAGTGGTGTGTGTAATTTTACACTGGCTAGCCCGAGGGCAAACAGCACCTTAGCTAACACTTTAAGACATTATTCCTCCAAAATTCATATATGTAAGCGCTCTATGAGTCTCTGGGGCAGTAACAAATAATTTCAATTGAAAAGCTGGAATGTGAAAGTCCTGGTTTGCCCTGGTTTGACTAAAATCAAACCAGGCTTCCCTCCCAGAGCGTAGGACTGCCTAGAGGCTGCAGACCAGCTGCACTGGACAGGATGTCACTGCTCATTGCTGCCAAGCATGAGCTGACCGTGTGTGTGTGTGTGTCACATTAATATTTTGTGTGACACACAGACTGTACACTAATTTGAGTGACAAAACAGACTGTACACTAATTAGGGCAGCTTACTTCAAATGAGTCAAGCTGGCCATCTATCTACATTTCATAGTACGTTATCCATGCTAGTATGCAAGGCATAAATCCAGACACCAGCTCTAGGATTTATATCTTCAGCAAAACATTTATTTCCCCCTGATTTTAAGCAATTGTTTTATGCAAATTATTGTGATTAGAAGGGCTCTGGATAGTCTCATTGTAGAGGCTAAACATTTTCATGCCTGAAAAACTGACTCTCTGTTCAAATACACTGGAATTTGAGGCTCACCTGACCAATAACATGATGTAGCAATATATAGTATGATTCTATTTAAATGTTGAGTGCATTTTATGCATGTTAAAAAAATGAAAAAGTAATGGCAAATGAAGCCATATAGTAGCAAATATTGCATTTTGATCAAAGCTTGGACAGTTTATGTTTGACATTGTAACGTGTCTTGAAGTTAATTAATGAGACGTCTCATAGGTCAGTGTTGCCTTCTTGGATAAAATGTAGCCACCATTTTATAATTTCATCCATTTCAAACTTAAAACAAATAAACAAACAAAGCAAAACAAAACACAGGTTATAAAGTCAAAATAAGTCAGCACATTAAATGACTTCTTCGTGTTAAAAACAAGCTAACAAATGATTTAGCCATGGATGTATTTTCATTGTAAAGGTTAATATTAGGTGAGTAGTGTGTTTATATTTTCTTCAAATTTTATGCTGAAAATGTTACACATGGGTGTATAATTAGTGCTATATAGTTATTGTTGTATAGTTAGTGTTATCTGCAAATTACCATTCTCCGATGGCAATGTATATCTGAAAAAACTGTAGCTGTTAGAACTGCTCTCTACAGATTCAAATTTGATCTTTGTTACTCACATTTGAACACTTTTGTAATTTTTTTTTTTTTAAATCTTAATTTACAATACTGATCTTCGCCTTTCTGGGAAATTACTACCTAGCTATCCTAGTAGCTTTATGACACTAAGTACATTGAGCTAAATGCTAACACGGAAACTGACGTTGAACTGATTTCTGCTAGAATGCTCACCAACATCCATCCATCCAACAGACAATATTTAATCGTGGTCACTGTCTTATTTTAAAATGTTAGATAGTTGTTATTTCAGCTAAAATATTGTAGCGGGTCAGGGCTGTTTTGGGTTTTGTTTGACAGCTGTGTTCTGTTGTTTCAGGCGGCAGCATTATGTTGCCATGGTTACCATGTGACACGCCCTCTCTGCAACTGTGTGTTTTTCTGGTGCGCCTTTTTGTTGTTACGCTAGAGCTGCGCCGAGCAGTTGCGTTAGCGTGGTACGTTTTGAACTAGCTATAGAGAGTATAAAGGATGGATATGGCTACTGGGACATCACTGATCGGTTTCTAAAGCCCAGTTTTGAAGCCTAGAGATTAAAACTTTCAACATTGCATCACTGTAACTGTCTGTTTAGTCAGAATGTGGTTTTTACCATAGATAATTCTCATTTTGGTAACATTGTATGACCAAGATTTACAAAATGACCTTATTTTGGACTCAAGTCAAGTCAAAACGCTTTTCTACCTTAAAGTTTTAAGCAGAAATCTTTTTAGACAACAGCTATTGCCATCTAGTGGTTTTCAGGTAGAATGCAGTTTTCACTAGAAGGCACTTTCACATTGGCTTCATTTTTGCCCTGCAGAGGCTACGTCCATCTTTTATTGAGGTTTCTCATGTGATGTCATGTGCACAATGCTCAACAGCTG